AACGAACCAAGGAAAAGTATGGCCGATATTGCTTAAGCCTTAAAGCAACTCTTATAGAGCTGATGAGATGTAAGTCTGTAAATGTGTAAGTTTGGTTAGAGAACCACCAGCCATTAGCCGTCAGTCTAGGCTCATTAAGGTTTAATGACCCAACAAAATACATTATTTGGATTGCGTAATATCGTACTTCTGGTTGAGTTGAGGAATCTGGTTAGAACCCTCACCTAACTAACAAGTCAGCAGAGACATAAACTCAGCCAGTTTTCACCCGCAACGAAGGAAGATGCCTCTCGTTTAGTGCGTTAACCTGAATGTCGTGGTTAAGCCAAACGGATGCAGGACAACGCAACTCAACCATCCTCTTCTGGCGGGATCGACCTATGAATATTTTTATTATCCCCTTTCATGTGAATTGAAAATCTCCACAGCAGACCAAACATCTTCTAATAAAAGTTTGGCTCAGAAGAATATATTAGCTTATAATGTTTGAGCTCACCTACATATCGAGTGAAAGTGTGTTATGGAAATCAGAAAACGAAGGCGGATTTCAATTGGCCGGTTGTCAGTTTTTACCTTACTAGGAACTTCTTGTTAACGCTGTCAGTTAAACAATCTCCCACGATTCCGGTGAGAATGGGCTAAGCTTCCATCCGTCATATGGCGGATAGCATCAAAACAAAGTATCATTCTTACAACAATATTCAAGCTAACGAGTCAAGAAAACCCATGGGAGTATCCATAAATGCTGTAATATACCTTAAATATATGCATTTTAAGAGGTATAAAGTGGTTTGTTAAGTCAAGTCATATGTCAAAGTAAAGGCATGTGTGTGTGTATGCTTGTGCATGCTTGTTTGCCCTCAAAAATGCATTGATATATATATAAAAATCTACAGCATTAATCGATAAATCGGTGAATTTTCTTGACTTATCTGCCCGAATATGTTTGGAAGAATGATACCCTGTTCTAATTCTGTCCATCGTATGATAGACATTATCACAGGAATCGGAGAAGATTGCTTCGGGGAAAGCATTTACTAGAATGTTCCAGTAAAACCGAGTGACGGCTGGTAAAGAGAAATCCGCCATTGTCTTATGGTTGGACCTACTTTCAAATACCTTAACCAAACATTTTTACCGAAAATTGGAATGAGCTCAAAATTATGGACCCTCGATGTGACGATTGAGTGTGAAATGTGTCATTTTGTAATCAGGTTTCTCATTCATGTCATTAACTCTTTCCTGAGGGTTATGAGCATCTGTGATCTTCTTATACACTGATTTTGCATCAGGGTTTGCCAATAATTCCTCTCCTTTAGACCTAATTTCTTGGATTATCTGAGAAATCTCATGCGAATTAGTCATTATTTGAGAATCTTTCCTTTATATTGTCTGAGTTAAAGCATATAACTTTCGTACTTTCGTGCTATCCTCTGAGCTTATCGACGATTAGCTGTCTTGTTTGTCCCCTTGTGTGTATATCTTTGGTGGTCCGTATGATAACTTGTCCATTTATCAGCCCCCTCTTCACATTCAGTTCTTTCATCACATATCCTTTTGCCCTTAGTTCACCGTAATTGCTACAAAATGCAGCAACGGTTCAAGAGAAATTTGTTAACTTGACTTGTAAGCTTCACTTGTTCTCCTGCCAAGTTTTTACTTGGAGCAAGGCAGGCTGTGATGTCGGCGAAATGTTTGGTAATCTTCCCAGTAAACATTCCGATGGTACACAGTACAGAATTGGCAAAGAAGGAGACAAGGGGTGAGTTTTTAGGCACCTTTCTGAAGCCACCGCTAGGTTCTAATAAAAGTAAGAGTATAAAGGGGATATGAGATGGTCTCTTAAGTCTACTTACATACGAAAAATAAGTATCGTAGTCGATTCTTATAGCAAAAATACGTTTGATTCATCTACAATCCCACCAAAAAATGTAATATGGGAAAAAGGTTAGCCTTCCTTGAAATTCACATCTACCCTGTTACCCAAGGGTACTTGTGGCAATCTGACCGAGAGGTTAACGTGTCAAACTCACATGCTACACTGTCACAATTGGACTCCCGCTAGGGGTGTTGATAAGACCTAAGAAAGGTCGAAACTGCAGTCCATTCTGGATGAAAACAACTTTTGGGAAAGCGAAGCTTTGTAAAGTTCAATGGAAACGTCAGCTCTACTCATATCATTGTGGGAAAATTCTACTACCTGTCTTTTATCATTTTAAACGAAATAGAGTGAATACATCTCATATAACTGATTTATTTGTAGTCTCGAAACTCTACTTGCATATGAAAAAGTATAAAGGAGAGTCTGACAGGTCGAGTAAAGTTCTGTTGACTGTAAATAGACGGTCCTATAAACACCAAGGCCTGAGCAAAACCTCCAAATTTCAAGATTTGTTCGAAACTTTTCGTCTCGTAGGTGAAGCAGCTCTGAGAATGCCCAAATGCAAAAGGCAAAATTAGCTACTTTGTTGGAAAACTCGAGGATGCAACAGGTAGAAAGGAGACTCACAGGAGGAGGCAAAAAAACAATCATTATTTGATCA